GTAGCAATCTGCCACAATTTAATTCTTCGTATTGTTAGCCGACACTGGGCAGTTTGTACATAATTGAATAATTAGAGTTGTTTACCACAACTCTATTTATTCAAATATTTTGTACCTGTTATAGTGTAGTAATGTTTGTGTTTTCACCTTTTCTTGATGAACCAAGCAATAATTGAAGTACTTGGATGTATTTTATTCTGAAATTACCAATGGTGTTCCATATAGACTCCCATTGCCTTTTCAAACATATTTTCTTAAACTATTTGTGCAACAAATTGCTTATGACTTTGTTGTCTACAAAGTCCCTACTAACATACAAGTCACAAAAAAGTCATCAAAAGTACCATCAATTTTACATTTAAACCCACTAATTATTGCTGGGATCTCTTCTATGTATTTTACTTAGAAAATGCATAATTCTATCCAATATTCCTTACACTTATTCCTTAGTGTTGTAATGGGCAAAACTTAAAATTACTTCATATGGGGTAAAATGATAATAACCCTATAACCTAAGTGCTTTCGAAAGGTGGACCTCTCTTCTCAGTTACAGGGTTTTTATCATTTTGTATAAAGACTTATTGAACCTACTTGTTTTCCTGACATCTTTCATATGGTGTAATATATGTACCCCAATGATAGAGAACAGTATACAAACAAGTTTGGAATTTGAAGGTTACTAGATTCATTTGAAAGCTTGCAAAATATTTGTGCCTGTGACATTTAATGTTTTCACTGAAAACATGGACAGGACAGTGGTACACATGATTGATGAATATGTTTCACATGTACACTGGGGTACATATTTTTACTGAAAACATGGACAGGACAGTGGTATGCATGTTTGATGAATATCTTTCACATGTGTTTTTATTGAAAACATGGACAGGACAGCGATATGCATGTTTGATGAATGTCTTTCACATGTGTTTTTACTGAAAACATGGACAGGACAGTGGTATGCATGTTTGATGAATATCTTTCACGTGTTTTTACTGAAAACATGGACAGGACAGTGATATGCATGTTTAATGAATGTCTTTCACATGTGTTTTTACTGAAAACATGGACAGGACAGTGGTATGCATGTTTGATGAATATCTTTCACATGTGTTTTTACTGAAAACATGGACAGGACAGTGATATGCATGTTTGATGAATATCTTTCACATGTGTTTTTCAGAAAAAGTTCATCCCAGTCAAATACTTCAGTATTGATAAGGTATTCCGGAATGAAAACTTGGATGCTACCCATCTAGCTGAATTCCATCAAGTTGAAGGTGTTGTAGCTGACTATGGACTTACTCTTGGGAATCTTATGGGTCTGTTCAAGGAATTTTTTAACAAGCTGGGTATGTGTAATTAGTGCATATTATTATAAGATTTAACCCTATTGCAAGGGGTTCAATGTAAAAATACACATTTGCACACATTAAGTATTTATACTATAGCTTTTAATAAAATAAGTGTATTTTCACAAATTTGGTAGACTTTTAGTAAACATTACAAGTCTTTTGTACACAAAAAATTAGATTTTTTAATGAAGTATTTTTACTAAAGATTTGTTTGTGAATATATCAAATCTGTTTTTTTTACTAGTCTGAGTGAAGTGATTTTCATGTTATGATTAAAAATACTATTCTTCATCCCCAAAATCTCAAATTTCCTTTGTGTAATCTCTGGAACCTCCTAAATATATTTCAGATGTTTATTTTCAGTAAAACTTTATACCTTGTCAGTTGTTTAATGATATACTTGATTCTTCAGCTTAAAGACAAGTTGTAAAATATATAAAATGAGCAGTTGTGCCCTTTTTTCGTTATTATTGATCATAAAGTTTCAACGTACTTCTCTTCAGAGTTTTAACTGCTAAACATTTCATGGTCAGTAGAACCCAGCTGAAAATAAAGCAGTAAATTGCCACGTGTCATTAGACTGTTTACATGACACCACCGTAATATGATACCCTTAAAACCAACAAAGCACGCGTGAAAAGATAGCCAACTTGAACACTGAGAACAGGGTGTCTAATGTATCGGATTATATATCCTAAAATGTTTTCTTGAAAAATTCAGAGTAATCGTACTGCACTTAGAATCAGTGAAAACCTTTATGTCAACAACAGGATGTGTAATTTATGTATCCTACAGTGTTCACAACAAGACTTTCCGATAGTAACAACACTGCACTTTGAACCTGTCAAAATAATTATTATGTGGTTTGTTGCTGGTACAATAAATATTTCAATTCTTTGAATATTGGGAATCCTTTTGGTGTGTTTGGAATTTAGCAGCATAGGTGTACAAAGATATTATTTGAACCCCTGCTTATAAAATCGTATTTCCCTTTTCAGCACTTACTCGTCAACCAATAAAAACTTTAGTTTTGGTACTACTTATCACACTCATTTAGTTTCACAAGCATTATAAGTCTAGTCATCTTTGGAAAACATTTTTACTTTTGTAGCTAAAGTTTAGTTTAGAAGTTCTCTTAAAGTTGTGAAACACTTTGAGTTGTTACTGAACTCTTATGTTGAAGTAAGTAATAATCATTTATATACACACACACATACAAAATCGAATACAAATCTAACTGTATTATCAATAATTTGCAAACTACACCAATATTTTGACTACCATACATTACATATATATTTACTCATAAGTTCTTAAATTTTAGTTATTTTCTTAAAGCATAGAATGAAAATGACATAGAAAAACAATGATTTCTAGTACTTATGAGAAGTTAAGGTTATAGGAAAATATTTTGCCCTCGTGTGCCTTTAGTGCTAAGCCTCGTTTATTTTTTCGAGTGGAGGGTGAAGAAATATAATTTTTGTAGGCTTCAAATATACGTTTTAGAAAGAAAAAACATGTTACATTACTCTACTAGTACACCCAAAACATCTGCAACCTGCTTGGGTTTATAAATAAAGTATATATATGTTTAAAAAAATTTAATCTCTGTTCAGAGCAACAACTTAGTCATCACCATTGCTAGATGCTTTGATTTCTCAGCAGATCAAAGTGGTGGGAGGTTCTAAGTTTATAAGTGAAAAAACCACAGTAAACAGAACAAAATGTCAGAAGTCTGATATCGGAGAAACTAGTTTTGACACATTCTTGCATCCTCTTCAGTCTCATGTTGTCTTCTGGCAGGAAAAAATTTAAACTTAACAACTTCCTGTGTCCTTCAGGGAATTCCAAGATCAAGGGTCACGTATGCATTTGTTGACCAGTTTTTCCTGCCAGTAGAGGATGCACGAATGTGTTGAAACTAATTTCTCTGATATCAGACTTCTGATAGTTTGTTCCCTTTACTGTGGTTTTTTCACTAATTGCTATACACGATATTGTGTTCTTTTATTATTTCTAAATTTATATTCTAGCTTGCTAGTATCTAAAATTTATGTTTCTAATTCGTTAACCACTTGTAGATGCATATAGTAGGCATAAAAAAAATATTAACTGAGGAACAAAACATGAGGAGGTACTATGTGACAAACACAAATCAATATTTAGCTTTATTTTACTTATATTTTATTTTGAAATAAGAAATTAAAATATACATAATATTAAATTTTGAAATATTAGCTACATTTTGATATCAATTTCATTCATATATAGTAATAATAAAGTTACTTAATAAAGCGTTCAAAATAAATCGCTATAAAACAGTGACATGCGCAGTTAGACCCACCTGTTGTGAAAGGGTTAAAGAATATACATTATGTTTAATAACATGTAAAACTAAATAATTGTAGGAGTATAGGCATAGTAATCATTATTGTCTTGCATCTAAAAAAATAGAAATAATATAAAAGAAAAAATAGACATTGCTGTCATAAAGCCCACAAATAAGTATAGCCTTGTAATAATGGATAATACTGAAAATTTTATGGAATACAAAGCTATGTGCTGATTTTGTTTAACAAAACATTAGAAATAAAAAACAACATTTGGTGCAAATGAATGTTTTGAATTTATTAGTGTTAAGTTTAAATAAAAACTAAAAGAGGTAAGTGTTCTGTATATTAAAGTAACTGCACTAAGAACCATATTATATCATTAATTTAAAAAAAATGGTTTGATAAAACTTTTAATCCAGTTTCATTAGTCACTGACCTTGGTATAAAAATAATTTCAAATACAAAGTAGACTGTACTGTTTATAATGGTCATAAAATATTAGAAATTTTTTATAATTAGTTTTCTGTACTTTATTTAATAATTGGAAATGGATAATATATGAGTTTGTTGCTTCAGAGTTTTATAACTAAAACTTTCATAAGTTTATTTCATACTTTTGGTGTATAGGAATCAGAAACCTACGTTTTAAACCCACTTACAACCCCTACACGGAGCCAAGTATGGAAATTTTTAGTTATCATGAAGGGCTTAAAAAGTGGGTTGAAGTTGGTAACTCTGGTATGTTCCGACCAGAAATGTTACTTCCTATGGGTCTTCCTAAAGATGTTGCTGTTCTTGCATGGGGTTTATCTTTAGAAAGGTATGGTTCTTAGCTAATATCAATTATTTTAATGTCTCTCTCTCAGGTTAAATAGTTTAGTGGCATTTGATGAATTTTTAATTGTGACAAGCTTATTTTTACCAAATAGAAATTGTAATCACTGCTTTCAATAACTTTAGAGGAAAATTTGTATTTAAAGAGTACTACTAATGAATACTTCGATGTATCGCAACTACTGTGCTTTGAACAGAATTATTGTTTACATAAGTGTTAATAACTGCTAAATGTCATATTAAAAACAATAGGATTAGGTATAATGAATTTTTTAACACTATTTAACATTCTGTATTTGATCACTTATATTTTGTTTTCAAGAAAAAGAGTGTATAAAAGCATTTCAACCATTATGTTCTCCATATCCATCGCCTATTTTTATTTTTTTGTTGTTGTTCTTTAAAAAAAAACAACATACACCCAAAGTGTCAAAAATTGAGATATAGCAGAAGTTGACAGGACTTCCAGTTTGCTAAGTAAGAATTCAATGCAAATACCTTAAAAAGATGTTCATATGATAAAGTTACATTGTCTTCTAGGCATAAAGAGCACACCCATTAATTTTTGGAAACTGAATTATCTTCTTAATTGTCATCCATTTTTAAAAAGCTTGAAACTTAATTTTGATAACATACCTTCTGTTAATTTAAATTTATGGTAAAAGTGTGAAGAAAAAAATGTTGCACGAGTAAATTTTATAAGTAAGTATCTATTTATTAGTCTTTTATTTCCTTGCCAAATTTATTTTAGCTCTTTAATTTTTACATAACAGAAAAATTCATCATTAATTTGGGAATATTTTTTTTTAAAGCATAAAATTAGTTTACATACTAAAGTCATAACATTTTACTCATTATGCTGTTTGTTATGTCTCACAATATTTTCATTTTGCAGACCCACCATGATTAAGTACGGTATTGACAACATCCGGGAACTTGTAGGTCATAAAGTGAACTTGAAATGGTTTATAGTAACCCTTTATGCCGACTAGACAGATAATTTATGAAAAAAAATGGAGCTGAAACTGAGTATTTATAGATGGGACTAATAAAAAAAATATTGTCATTTTTGCTCTGAATTTTGTTGTTGAAAAGCCCGAGTGCAAGGTGATTCTTAATTCATTAGCATAATTTCCTAGAACCTTCTAAATGAATATCAAAATAGTTTTTTAAGTAAACTTTATATTTTTTTATCCATTATTTTCTTTAATCACTGTTGAAAAATACAAAATAAATTTAAATTACACACTATTCTTACAGCCCAAACTAACATATTTTTCAAATCTGGGTTCATTTATTTTTATTGCTTTACATCTGCGCTTAGACCTTCTCAGAGTATGTCAAAAACCGTTTATCACAGATGGACTGCTTCGTATATGTAATAGAGGTAAAAGCACAACACAAATGAATTACAAACACTTCTTATGTTATAATATTAATAAAATATTTTTATTTGATTTTGTTTTCTTTTCTAACTATTAAGTTCCTAATTTTTACATTTTAGTAACTTTTCTAAAAATAAAAAAATTAGCTTTTGCTTATCTGGACTCCCTCTTATTTTGCTGTCACAAAGCACTATAAGCCTATTTTTTGTAACAATGTTGTACCAAAATACTTCAAATGTTTATTTAAAATGTGAAATTTAGAACACAAAACATTAGCATGCACAAAAAACAATGTTCTAAAACAACTATAATTTAATTGGTTTTCTAACCAAGTTATAAATAGGCTAAACAACTGCGCTAGTCAGTTGGAGTTCAACAATAACGTATAGGATCTAAAACAAACTATCTATAAATATGTGGTAAAAAAGAAATAACCTTTAGCAGGTTCTTCTAGGGAGAAAAAAATATTTCTCTGTTGATTATAAATATGTCTGTAAAAGTACTCATAGTATAAATAAATTCTTTTAAATCTATGACAAGATTGGAGGAGCCACAGTTGTGGGTGTCACAAATTTATATCTTTAGAATTTATATTCTGACCTTTCAGTGCCCGTAGTTTGTGTGTCTGATTAGTTGGCTTTTGTAACAGCCTCAGAAAGGAATGAAGAAAACTGAAAATAAGAGGTAGATGCATCTTTTAACACACAGAAGTCAAGAGTAAGAATTTATAACTTATATAAAACTTTAAATTATTACAAATTTAGTGACATATGTTAATAGTAAAGTTGTTTAACTTTTGAATGTAACTGTAAAAGGTTAGAGATGTGCACTTTGATCCCCTTACACACACATAGAGATAATTTGATAAACAAGGTCGAGCTATTTCTCAGTAGACAGGAGAAGTGAAAAAAATTGTAAAAACCACTTCATGCAAATATGATGAAAATATTTTTACAAATATAGTTATTTTACGATATATTTCACATCATTACCTAGTTTTAATGGAGATAAAATAGACTGTACTGGATCTTCTGTTTATGGACTACATCTGCCTGGTGTATGAATGGACATTTTGGTCTCAGCACTGAAATCTTCATCAGTAACAAACTTAATAAAAATACAAAAAATATCTTTAATAAACTCCATTTTCAAAAACATTCTAGTTTGAAAGTAGATTTTAACTTTACACATATCTAATTGTAAGTCCTATTTATTTCGTATTTTTTAAACTAGGATTAATATTGATGAATAACACAATTGGGTTCATGTTTTAAAAGCTTCCAGCATTTTAACGACTTGTACATGAAATCAGATTTGTTGAATACAAGATGTACAGTGTAATGCATCATACAAAACTTTTTTATCAAACAAGTGATTAAAAAAATTCTATTCAGAGTCAAAATTACCTAAACAATCAAATATGTAACATGAGTGTAGTTATCACAACAGTATGAAATATACTGTGTCCAACTGTAACACGGAGGGAACTCCTTGCTATAGTAAAGAGTCTGACATATTTCCATCCTTACCTCTATGGTGCCAGGTTTACCATCAGGACAGACCATGCTGCATTACGCTGGTTAAGATCATTAAAGAACCCGGAGGGACAACTGGCACGTTGAATCGGAAAGATAGACCAGTATAACTGTGATATTGAATATAGAGAAGGAAAATCTCATGGAATGCCAATGGACTGAGTCAAAGACCCTGCAAAAATGACTGCAGACATTGCTGCAAAAAGAGGTTGAACTAACCAGGTGTCAT